ACAGGTGCTTGTCTTGTGCCAGACTTTTCTAATGACTGTGGCTGACACAGGTGCTTGTCTTGTGCCAGACTTTTCTAACAGCTGTGGCTGACACAGGTGCTTGTCTTGTGCCAGACTTTTCTAACGGTTGGGCCTGCTTATGTCCCGCCTTCTGCATATGCGGTCAGTGTCTGCTGTCATTTTGTTTGCGCACTTCGACACAAGAACAGAAAAAACTCGGTTCTATTGCTTAGGGCAGGGCTGTTCGAGTAAGTTACTTTAGGGCGAACATTTTGAAAATGGAGATCATCCCGAGCCAGATGACCAACCTCTAGTATAGAAAGATAATTAATACAATTCAGCGGCCAGTGATCCTCGGTCACTTTGCTAGGACTCCACGGGCCGCCACTTGGCTTATGGGTTAGTGAGTGTGTATCACAATTCTGAACCTACGGGACCGGGGTAAATTTTTGCCGCGTACGGTTGAGAAAAATACCAGGTATTTTAATTTTACTTTTTTTTTCCCCATCTCGCTAGTATCTATCGCTTAGGGGTTGCGAACGCGCTTCGTAATGCCGGAGGTGCCGGGTTTGATCCCAGCTGCGGACGGTTGTCTTGCGTTGGCTTCAACAGTGGTACCGAGAGCTGACCGATCAGAAAGCAGTGGCAAACTACTGAACGTAAAATTTGCCTAGAAAAACCACAACAGCCATAAAACGCTTTGGTTGGTTCTGCATCGTTCTAAAAAGGATAGGCAAACAACTTAACTTTTCCAATCTCGGGAATCCTTGAGTTCACAGGATGGTCCAATATTATAAGGGGTTGGGGGTGGGGGGGGGGGGTGGTTAGATTTAGTCAGTGGTCATTTTACATCGTAACGCCCCTCCAATAAATAAGGCCCTTTTTTTTTTTCTTCTTCCTCTTCTTCTTCTTCTTCTTCTTCTTCTTCTTCTTCTTCTTCTTCTTCTTCTTCTTCTTCTTCTTCTTCTTCTTCTTCTTCTTCTTCTTCTTCTTCTTCTTCTTCTTCTTTTTCGACTGTAAATTCTGGCGGAAAGTTCTGGTTGTTCATCCACTCTTTTGATCCAAAATAGGGATTGCCTCTGTACATCCATTTTACATATTTTGCTTACTAATCTGCAGACTGTCGGTTTCTTGCCCCTTAGGCAGATGCAGGCCGATTCTGAATTAAATGCACCCTGTTGCCTTCTACGACCACAAGTGGCGTAGTGGTCGTGTCATTTGCCTCGGACTGCGAAAGTCCTGAGCTTGTTTCACGGCGGTGACGTTCGGTTATGAGTACATTTTAAAGGAGATCCATGTAGATCGTCGCCGAAGCTACGATGTTCGTGCTGTGTGCAATGCTCTTATTTATCGGCTAGCTGTTCTGCGGAGAGAGACCGAGCCTTATTGGATAGACCCACTGCAAGGAAGTGGATCCTGTCGATGTTACGTACACTTCTGATGCACTTGTACATTTCGGGAGATTAAGGAACCTACTAAACAACCCTTCACGCATTTTCACACCTAAGGATGATGATGGCGATAATAATAATAATAATAATAATAATAATAATAATAATAATAATAATAATAATAATAATAATAATAGTAAAAATAATAATAATAATAATAATAATAATAATGATAATATTAATAGTAATAATAATAATAATAAGAGGAAGAAAAAAAAGAAGCTAAGTTGCATTTCCTATTTAGGCAGTCGTAAACAAACCTAATTTATTATGTTTTTCCCTGCTTACTGAACGGTACGACCCTATTAAAATCAAAGCAGTCTGCAGCTGACTTCGATCCCCGGTATGTCGGAATTGTGAACATTTTCACAAACCCTAAACACAAACAACTGACAATAATAATACTAGCCTCATTCAGGGACTTGCAGTAGCACACGGACTTGACGCCTCCTTCCGGTAGTAGTCGCCTTTTACGACATGTATGATGAGTACAGTGCTGCAGGTTATTTTCTTTCCTTTTATGCAGGAGCTAAGACAGCACAACACATATCCCAAAAACACATCCCAAAACGTAAGAAGGTACAGGTATGTGAGGGAGGGGGGGCGGAGAATAATAATAATATTGTCTTACATTATGTCCTTTTTATCGCAGTTTTGAAATCGAATTTCCCCACAGCTGCAATAGTGCATGTTGTGACGTATGTTTATCTCTCGCAGCAGCTCGTCATTGGCTACGTCAGTCACTCGTTTTCTACAGCCTCAGTTTTAGCATTTGTTTTTTGTTTTAAATTGGGGGAATTTCCCCAGCTTAAGTGTCGGCGTGACCTGTTTGTTCTTCCTCTCTCCGCCTAGGTTTCCCTCTGCCTCCTTCCCTCTCTTCTGATATTAAATAAAAGTACACACTAGGGGAAGCACTTGGAACGCATAAGGGGGGTAAAGTGCTATGCATGGGCATATAGGGCTAGACGTATATTTTATAGACCAATCAGCACATTCGGCGGTGGTGTGGTCATCTTTACTTTCCATGACTTTACCTGGTACCCATTTAAGACCGGGTCGACCTGGGAACCAAGGTCATTTTTGGATAAAGTTCGGCTCCGCCAAGACCTGAACTCACGACTTTCAAATTCGCAGGCGAGCGTCTAGCCCCTACACCACAAGGGCTCTTCATATGTGACAAATGTGAAAAATTTGTTTGTGAAAGATTGGAGAGTTTGTACGCGGGAGATTAAAGGTTTTTGTTTTTTTAAATAACAGATTGACGAGTTTGCATGTGAACAATTTGAGAGTTTATAGGTAAAAAGATTGATAAATTCCTGCTTGAAGGATTGAAGAGTTTATAGGTGAAGAATTGTAGAATTTACACTTGAAAGATTAAAGAATGTATTTGAAAGATTGAAGAGTTTATAAGGAAAATAATGAAGAATGTGTACCTGAAAGATTAAGAGGTGTATTTGAATGATTGAAGAGTTTGTATTTGAAAGATTGAGGGTGTTTCTGAAAGATTGGTGAGATCATATGTAGAATGTAGAGAGTTTTCCCGATCACGTTAATAAGCCTTGACGTGAGTGATTAAACAGCAAGATCGAATATTCAAGCGTTTACAGATGGAACACCAGAAGAGCCTACCTTTGAAAGGTTGAAGCAATCACCTGAAATCCCCATGTGGATTCAGGGACCCCTATTTAGGTGACACACGGAGAGACCCACTGCCCCTGAGCAAGCATGTCGTAAACGGCGACAAATCAGGCGTTTACTAAAATGTTATGTTAGGCTGGAAAACATAATTGTCAAAGCCTAGCTTTAAACCGCAACACAGTGTGTCGAATTGCTTTGTCAGTGCGAATACAGAAGAAAGAGAAGAAGATAAGGATATGATGAAGAGGATGAGGATAAAGAAAGAAGATACAGAAAAAGAAGAAAATGATGATGATTATGATAATAAGCATGAAGGATAAGGACGAAGAAAATGATGATTAAAAAGAACTAGATGATGAATATGGTGATTAATAAAAAGAATAATAATAAGAAGAAGATGGTGATGTTGATGAAGTCGCGTGAGACCGGGAAGCCATCTTTGTGACCTAGAACTTTGGGAATCCCTGAATCTGCCGAAGAGAGGAATGAGAATCAATCGGATCTACTGAGGATATTCCCCCCCCCCTCCCCAACCCCCCTCCCTCCAGCCAAAATTAAGCACCGCACACCCTCGTGTGAAATAGATAGGCGCGTTAGATCGCTCAGTCCTGCATGGAGTCTTACCTGAGTGAGTGATTTTCTGTCATCCAGTGATTTTCTGATTGAGTGATTGTTTTATTAAAAGATTTTTTGATAAGAGTGTTTTTTCGTATTGAGTGAATTGTCGGATTGAGTGAATTGTTTCCGAGGACTTTTGACACTTATCAAGAACTGTCATCCGGGAGATCGTCGATAGATGCGTTTGTTTTAAAGTAAACGATCTGACGTTTGTTCATATTGTATAAACCTGATTGTGAAATTGAATATCAGCTGTTTCCTTTCGTGTGTCTGTATTTTCAAAGATGGCTATTTGGTATATAGATTACCATTTATGTCTGATGATGTATGTTTATTAATCTTTCTTCTTCTCCTCCTTTGTCTTTTCCTCCTCCTCCTCTCCTTCTCCCCTTCCTCCTCCTCCTTTTTTTTGCTCTTTTTGTCTCTCTGTTAAAAAAAAAAACGAATTACCTGTTACTTCCTAACGATCGCTTACGTACATGTTTATACTGATTTATTTGAGAGCTAATAGAAGCCACACCCCCCCCCCCCGCCTCAAAAAAATTCTTCTGCGACTTACCGAACATGTCGTAAGAGGCGACTAAGAAGAACTGGCTACCTCATTCCACAATATTTTGTATAAATAAATTCTGCTTTGGACTGGACTTAGAATTTGTAACAAACGTCCAATCAGAACTTGCAGAACGAATAAACTAATTACTAATAAACCACATTCATTAATTGGCACGTCGTACCCTTCTGAAAGTAACGGCAAACTACTGGACGTCAAATTACCGATAAAAGCAACACAGCAGCCGATACATACCGGAGGTTTAGAATAAGACTGTGCTGACCCCGGTCTTCTCCTAATTATATTCCAGCATCTGTATATTATCACGAGAACTACGGTGGTGTGTTGGCTACACGTTCGCCTGTCGGCCCGAAGCTGTTAGGTTCGAGCCCACATTGAGTGGCAATTTAGCCTCCAGAAATGACTTTGCCTACCAGGCCGACCCAGCATAAAATGGGTACCAGGTAATGTTCTGGGAAATAAATGCGGCTGGTGGGATGTTGACCACACTGGTTGCTGATTGATCTTTAAAAAAAAAAGAACCTAGCATCAGCTGCCGGATGAGCCACTGGTGTGAGAAGGGACCTTTGCTTGGATTGAGATATGATCGTTTTTTATTGGCACCTTCCCGTCTTTCCAGACGATAGTGTAATGATCACAGCTGGTTAGATATAATAATAGATAGTTAATAGATGTGATCACAGCTGGTTATATTATTATTGTGCTTATTGTCATGTTTGCAGAAGAAGACCGAAGTCTGAAGGATGTGGTGGCCTGTATCCAGTCCAGCCTGGCACATGGTTTAAAACTTGGCAACAAGCAGGTCCAAAAGCTGGCCATTCATCATCTACAGAAGCGGAGCGAACTCAAGGTGAAATGTGAACTTGCCGGAGAGAAGAGGTAGGCTAAGCATTTCTTTCTTTCTTTTTCTTTTTCTTCTTCTTCTTCTTCTTCTTCTTCTTCTTCTTCTTCTTCTTCTTCTTCTTCTTCTTCTTCTTCTTCTTCTTCTTCTTCTTCTTCTTCTTCTTCTTCTTCTTCTTCTTCTTCTTCTTCTTCTTCTTCTTCTGATCCACCTACTGCTGCTGCTGCTGCTTCTTCTTCTTCTTCTTCTTCTTCTTCTTCTTCTTTTTTTCCCCCTCTTCCTCCTCCTCCTCTTCTGTCGTCGTCGTCTTCTTTGTCTTATTAGCTTTTATTCGCCATAAAATGAACGGTTGAGACACTGTATTATGGTTTACAGCTAGGCTGCAGTTTCTGCACCCTTGGGACCAGCCATTTGTGTTCGGGAAAACCCCTAATCGGCACTGGGTGGCTGATCTCAGAATTGCCAGTTGTAGATTTCTTCATGCCCTTAGACTCAGCTGATGAAGTTCAGAGGTCAACCCAAAGTCACTGCCGGAGTGAGACTTGATGAGGCCCTTAGCTGATGAAGTTTAGAGGTCAACCCAAAGTCACTGCCGGAGTGAGACTTGATGAGGCCCTTAGCTGATGAAGTTCAGGGGTCGACCCAAAGTCACTGCTGTAGTGAGATGATGGGGCCCTTAGCTGATGAAGTTCAGGGGTCGACCCAAAGTCACTGCCGGAGTGAGACTTGATGAGGCTCTTAGCTGATGAAGTTCAGGGGTCGACCCAAAGTCACTGCCATAGTGAGATGATGAGGCCCTTAGCTGATGAAGTTCAGGGGTCGACCCAGAGTCACTGCCGTAGTGAGATGATGAGGCCCTTAGCTGATGAAGTTCAGGGGTCGACCCAAAGTCACTGCCGGAGTGGGACCTAATGAGGCCCTTAGCTGATGAAGTTCAGGGGTCGACCCAAAGTCACTGCCGGAGTGAGGCTTGATGAGGCCCTTAGCTGTATAAAGCCCCGATACCCTTACCGTTTAAAATTACACCAGCTGATCTCAGAGAACTGTCAAATATATACTTTTGTAAATATATGGAAAATGGAATTAAATTGCCGTTTAATTGCTGTTAATGAAATGTATGTGCAAAATCGCATGAATTATGTTATATAATCATCTAGAATTATGTTACATAATCATCTAGAAGTGCATCTGAGTTCAATGTGGTGTCACTTGCCCAGTGCGAGGACCCGGTTCCTCGATTGGATGCCATATTTAACCATGTTACGATCACTCCATGGGTTCTTGCTTTGGGGTGGGCATTACATAAACACTGGGAGTCCCCGTGGCGGAGCGGCTAGACGCTCTCCGCGGATTGGTAAGTCGTGAGTTTGCTCCCTGGCGAAGCTGGACTTTTTTCAAAAATGACTTTGGCTCCCAGGTCGACCCAGCCTTGAGTGGGTACCGGCTGCAGTTCCAAGGAGTAAAGCGGCCGTCGTGATGCTGACCACATCATCCATACTGGGCCGATTGATTTATAAAAATATAGGTCTAGCCCTATATGCCCTATACGCCCAAAGGCGTGGAAAAGGGTCCTTTATTTACTTTACTAATCCTCTAGAAGACTCCAAGTTACGACTTTAAATGCATTTTTTTTTTCTCTCTCTCTTGATTTTCCAAGTTCAGGATAATTTATAATATAATCAAACGATATGTTGTGTAACATGTTGCTATCTGTACATATGATGCAAAATGCGGACAATTGTGTGTGTTTTCTTGTTTTGCTGCAAAGTTGATCTCAGTTCATAAAAAATTACTTTCTCCTGAAACATGCTAGCTGCTCACCAGCCTTGCATACCAGTGATGTGAAAACATGAGAAGTGGCTGGATGGAGAGAGAGAGAGAAAGAGAGAGAGAGAGGGGGGGGGGGGGGTTAAATTGTAATTGACGTATTGTACCCATAACAGACAACAAACCAAAGAAAAAAAAAGATACGTAATATATTTACCGTACAGCTGACACTGAAATTGAATGAGATGACCCAAGTTAATGAAAGGCTAAAGATCACCTAAGTCAGGCCGATTATTTTATTTATTTTAAAGAGGCTACAACAAGTTAGAATTTATAGAAACCTGAGAGAGATAATATCACCAAAACAACACCCCCCCTCCAAAAAAAAAATTGTCAATGATGTATCGTACGTTAAAATTTATATTAAAAGAGAACTTGCATGTAAATTGAAATAATATATAATAATATATTCAAAGAAAATTATATTTAAAGTATAATAGAAGAAAATTTGTATGTAAAATATATTAGAAGAAAATGGCATTGAAAATATAATTTTAAAAATCGCATTCAAAATTTATTAGGAAAAAATTGCATTTAAAATGTATTGGGAGAAAATTCCATTGAAATATATTTGAACAAAATTGCATTTAAAATATAATAGAAGAAAATTGCATTCAAAATATATTAGTAGGAAACTTGTATTTAAAATATGCTAGAGGAAAGATTGCATGTAAAATATATTAGAAGAAAGTGGCATTTCAGATGTAATACGAACAAAATTGCATTTAAAATGTATTAGACAAAAATTGTATTTAAAATATATAAACAGAAAAGTGCATTTAGAATTAACTACAAGAAAATTGCATTAAAGATGGATTACAAGAAAATTGCATTCAAGATGTATTACAAGAACATTGCATTAAAGATGTATTACAAGGAGTAGTTCGCATTGCCTTGGAAGATGTATTACAAGAACATGGCATTAAAGACATGCGTACAAGAACATTGCATTAAAGATGTATTACAAGAACATTGCATTAAAGATGTATTACAAGAACATTGCATTAAAGATGTATTACAAGAACATTGCATTAAAGATGTATTACAAGAACATTGCATTAAAGATGTATTACAAGAACATTGCATTAAAGATGTATTACAAGAACATTGCATTAAAGATGTATTACAACAGAGCATTGGCCTAATGGAATTAAAGATTATCATGGATTACAAGAAGCATTGAGGATTAAAGAGTGGTATTACAAGAACATTGCATTATAAAGATGTATTACAAGAACATGGCAATTAAAGATGTATTACAAGAACATTGCATTAACTTGGTAATTACAGAACCTGGTACTATTAAAGATGTATACAAGAGCATAACTGAGGGGAGGATCTAACCTATGTACAATTACAAGAACATTGCATTAAAGATGTATTACAAGAACATTGCAACTACCTAAAGATGATTACAAGAAACATTGCATTAAAGAACTAACTAACAAACTAACAAATGCATTAAAGATGTATTACAAGAACTATTGCACTAACTATGTATTACACTAACTAACAATGCATTAAAGATGTACCTTACAACTTACTAACATTGCACTAAAGATGTAACTAACTACTACTACAAACTAACTATTGCAACTAACTAACTAACTATTACTAACTAACATTGCTAACTAAAGATGTATGACAACTAACATTGCTAACTAAAGATGTATGAAGCAAGAACATTGCATTAAAGACGTAGGCTAGCTAGAACATTGCATTAAGTATGTAACTTAAAGAACTAACATTACTAAGTAACTATTCTACTAAGAACATAACTAAAAAACTGTATTACAAGAACATTGCATTAAAGATGTATTACAAGAACATTTTATTAAAGGTGTATTACAAGAGCATTGCATTAAAGATGTATTACAAGAACATTGCATTTATGAACAAAAATTGGCAATCTGTTGAGGCCCCTGCACGTTGTGAGGCCTGAAGTTATAGTTAATTAAGCTTGTACCTAAAATCAACGCTGGGTAAAGTATCGTGCATGCATGACAACACAGTAAACAACCGGTGATGTCACTTCCTCATTCCATGACCCAGCAGATGTGACCCTGAACTGCGACAGGGTCACGTCTGTGCCAGCCCATGAGGCATTGCAGCGTGTAGCGCCCTGCTGTAGTTATGTCTGGTTGTGGTTTGATGCGCTCTTTGATCTTGAAGCTGCCAGTTGTACAGACTTTCTGTTTTTTGCATACATGCATATAGTTCATGTTTTACAGGTATACGTATAGTTTCTGCCTTACATGTACACGTAGTTTCTGCCTTTCATGTACACGAATAGTTCCTGCCTTACATGCACATGTATAGTTCCTGCTTTACATCTATACGTATAGTTCCTTTCAGACGTGTTGGTCTTTGATTAAAAAATTGAAACACCTTCCCAGTTGCCTATGTTTTCGTCATTATCTTGAAGCGTCTTGCTGGCTTGCTCTGACGATCATATCTCTCCACAACCTTTAACGCAGTCGATAGGAGATTCGCTTTCAAATACAGCTGCGACTTGCTGCAGCCCACGGCCGTTGTTCAAAACCGGGCGGTCCCTGTGGTTCACCCAGCCTTTATCTAATGGGTACCAGAGTTAACACTTTGGGGTAAATAGAGGAACGTCGCTGTAGCTCCGGAGTTGCGTGCGGTCGGCGACATAGGCGGTCAGTTTCTCATCAGCTGTCCGTACTAGTGGCAGAGCACTTATGGTTTATAACAGTGTGCAATGACTTTGGTTCACATCTCCGGACCTTATCTTTACCTCTTAACCTGCGATCTCCAACAACATGCAACAGTTTGTGAGTCGAGCAATGACGCTGGTTCACATCTCCGGACCTTATCTTTACCTCTTAACCTGCGATCTCCAACAACATGCAACAGTTTTTGAGTCGAGCAATGACGCTGGTTCACATCTCCGGACCTTACCTTCACCTCTCAACCTGCGATCTTCAACAACATGCAAGTTAGTGAGTCGAGCAATGACGCTGGTTCACATCTCCGGACCTTACCTTCACCTCTCAACCTGCGATCTTCAACAACATGCAAGTTAGTGAGTCGAGCAATGACGCTGGTTCACATCTCCGGACTTTACCTTCACCTCTTTACCTGCGATCTTCAACAACATGCAACAGTTTGTGAGTCGAGCAATGACGCTGGTTCACATCTTCGGAACTTACCTTTACCTCTTAACCTGCGATCTGCAACAACATGCAAC